TGCACGCATGAATCGTTTGCCCAGGCCCTAATTCGAAAAAAAAAAAAGAAATCGAGTATGGGATGCCAATTAAATTAGGTTTGGCGCGCACTAAGTGCAATAAAGAGTGAGTAACCTAAAATTAGGGCCTGGAACCCAGGCTAGGAACGGGACTGAACGTTAGGATTTTCACCCCATGGCCTATTGGATAACGAAGGACTTAAAAAGCTTGATCCATCAAAACACCAATCTTTTTCGGAAAGCAAGGCGATCTGGATCGCAGTATCACTGGACACACTATAAAGTCAAACGTAATGCTGTTAAATAAGCCATTAAAAGGTCTTGTAAAAACTATGTGAATAATTTATTTAAATCAAATGACAATAAGAAACGTTTCTGGGCTTTTGTTAAAGAGAAACGGGCGTCTAGTTTGCCCAAAACATTTAATAGCCGTGCAATAAGATTAAATATTCTGATTTTAATGACATTGCCAATGGTTTTAATACTTATTTTACCTCTGTTTTTAACCCATCCAATTTTAATTTTAATTTTAATGACCCACCAAAGAATACCCTTCCAGTACCAGCTCTCTCTGATATAGAATTTGTGCCTGATGATGTGACCAAAGCCATTTCTAATCTGAAACCAAATTCTGCACCTGGCCCAGATAAAATTACTCCTAAGCTCTTAAAATCAATTTTAAGCACTGTATGTCTTCCACTTTGGATTCTTTTTCGGAGGTCACTCATTTCAGGAGAGCTGCCTACTGAATGGAAAATAACGAACGTTACCCCGGTCCAAAAATCTGGTGATAAAATTAATGTAAAACAAAATCGAGCCGTTGCTCTCACATGTAGTTTGTAAGTTAATAGAAAAACATAATGGTGTTATACAATTAACTAATGTTGTCTATGAATGGTCCCGTCTCCTTGACGAACGGAATCCTCGTGTTATTGATGCTCTATTTCTTGATATGAGTAAAGCATTTGATAAAATGCCCCACGAATTGTTGCACAAGCTTGCTGTTCATTTTAATATTCAGTGTAATGTCTGAAAATGAATATCATCATTTTTAAGTAATAGGTACCAACGTGTCTGTTTTAATGATACAATATCATCTTCTTTGCCTGTCACCTCCGGTGTACCCCAGGGTAGTTGGGCCGGTCCTTTTAAACTTTGTGTAAATGACATTAGTTTCAACGTTTTATCTCATTGTGATTTATTCGCTTACGATGTACTTATTTTTAGACAAATGTTGTGCAATAATGACGCTACCATCTTTCAGAGAGATATTGATCAACTTTGCTACTGGGCTTCTTTGGCTTTTTAAATTCAAATAAAACCAAAGTTATGCACATCGCTAGGAAGCGTGAATTTGAAAAGGCTACCTACTTGCTCAATGGTAATGAAATCGAATCCGTAAAAAGTCAAAAGTACCGAGGTGTGCACCTTGATCAGCTCTTTTGAGATGTTCACATTTCGCACGTTGGGTCTAAATTGAACAGACTCCTTGGCATAATCCTTTCCCATGCTAGAAATAGTTCACCTGAAGCCATCTCTTGTTTGTACAAAGCTTTGATCTTGCATATCATTGAGTATGGTCTCCCTGCTTGGGGTCCTGTTTACGCCAAACATGCTGAACGTCTTGAAAAAATTCAATGACGTGCTTTTAGGCGTATTCTTAAAGTCGGCTGGGTGGCATTACCTTTTGAGGTAAGGCTCAAGCAGTTAAGCTGGCTCTTTTATTTTTCGTTGTTTGTATAATCTTAATTACTGTTACAGTGCTGTTGATAATCTTGCAATTAATCCTGGTTACCCTGATTCTCTCATTTTCAAACATCCATACGCTCCAACTAATTGTCTTAAATTCTCTGCTATCTATCGTTTCCCTGTTCTCTGGCCCTCACTTCCTTCTGAACTTAAAGATTCTGCATTCCTTTCTCTAGGTTTTCTTAAGCACGGCGGTTTCATACGCACTATATTGAGACAATAAGTTTTTTCAACGCGCCTTTCATATATTTACGCACCGCAAGCCTCGAACGAATACATGTCGCGATTGGGATCGTGCGAGCCTAGCGGAACTGCATTTTTTGGTTCATAGTAGAATTGTGCTAAAAATAATATATGAGTATAATATCCCCCCATTCATGTTCTGTTTATTATATCAGCTACTAAACAAAATTTTTGCAATGCATGAATTTATATAAAAATCATGAATTTTAACGAGAAAAGTAAGGCCGGTCTACAGTAAAAATGTAAACAAACAACGCCCTAACTCCGTAAATGTTAATATCGCTAAACATGCTCGTAATTATCGTCGTTTTACAAAATTGTGCAATTTTTCTGGATGTTATCGTTGGTCGAACAATCAGTGTCTGTTCTTGTATTCTGTGAAATATTGGCCTGACAACTTCTTCTGATTTTAAAAAATTTTCGATTGAAAACAGCAAATATTTTGGCTTTACTAGGCGTTCTTGACAACTTCACAGGCTAATACGCGCAATTTTACGCGTTGTTTATACATGCGCTAGGCCTAGATTGAGGCCTAGATTTTATTGGGGTTTTGAATAGGCTTTGTTTGCTGCATTAATGTTGTTAAATGTTAAAATAATAATTGTATAATATATATATTATTTTTATTCAGCTAATATATGATAAATACAGGCTTGCATTGAAGAACGTTTTATACTTTGATGGCAATAATTAGGATGGCTCTAAAATAAAGAAAATTTAAAATATAAATAAATGTAAACAATGATCCAATATTCATCTGTAAAAATAGCCAGTATCATTTACAATCATCATTCTTCTTACACCTCAGTTTATAAATAGACACAAACATTATGTTCTACATGTTATATTTTTAATGAACAAAATAAACCTTTAAAAAATACAAGAATCCAAATTAAACAGGTTCACTTATTAATCTCAGATACAGATAGAATAATACATGCTCAGAGTTTAGGGATTCAATACTTTGATATTAATTATGTCATCATCCAAATTAAAGGTATGCAATCAGGTTAATACTGACAGTTATGTTTGTACAAATTGCTATTGCACTTTATAAGTAGAAAATTCAATATATTCACACTATATTATAGTACTGCACAACAAAATATGTTATTGCACTTTGTGTTAATATGTGCAGTAATTAGTGTGTAAATTTTTTTTTCACAAAAAGGGTATGGAGTTTTGAACAATCTGTTCTCAATAGTAAGTTGATTCAGAGAAAATATAAATTTCCCATCATCTGAAAGTCCCAGGTCTCTTCAAAAATACAAACAAGAATGCTAAACATAACTGTCTGTAACAGCAGGGATGCAGAGACAAAATGACGAGTCCACCTGTTTACATGTAGCTTGCATATCGATTAAAACATATCTGACCATAGTATCTGATTTACATCCTGCGTCGTAACAATTAAAGATGCTGAAAAGATAAATATAAATATATCTTAATTGGGCAATACATAACAATATAATTCATTCTAGGCAATGGAAAGTAAAAAAATTTAAGTGTTAATTATATTGTGCACTCACTTTTCCCTTGGTTTCGATGTGGTACAAAG